AGTTTCCACAACTAAGTAAAATGTCTTCCACAGATCTGACTTCCCCATTTCAACATTTCAACCAATCAGTTGATCGAAAGAACAGGACGACTCAGTCGACCAATATTATAATTTTTTGGGCCGGGGACAGCCCTAATCAGTACAATAAAAAAGTCCCAAATGGAAGGGAAACAGATTTTCATCTGTAGCCCCATGAAATCAGCCAAAACAAGCTCAATAACTCAATGCATGCACACGCTCTTATTGAATATGCATTTACTTGTATTGTCAATAGGCCTAGGCTACATCTTTGATTTACACAGTTTATCAATATACCATTCAAATAAATGATTACCAATGTTATGTAGTTAGAGTGGTAAAAACAAAGTCAGATTGATTGTATGATTCATTCATTAAATGCATACATGAATGTCTCTGAAAAATGTACGTAAAACAATTCAAATGTAATGATATCGAATTCAAGACGGCCAACGATTGAACAGAGCAGTAGCTGAGATTATCTGTCTGGATCAAGTGACATTCTGTGACTTTGGCTAATGTGCCTTCTTTTGCCTTGGTATCGTTTTGGAATTGAGTATCATCATGGTATCGAGTATCGTGATACTAAACCTGGTATCTAAGTCAAAATGTGGGTATCGTAACAACACTAACACACAGACACATGTACACTACCGATGCGCGGGTTGACTCATAACCCGCAGTCCCCACGGTATTATCTGCGGGGCAGGCGGATTTAGGGTAATTAAATATTGTGTGTATGAAGGGCGGGTGGGTTGAATAAAGAGAAAACAATTCCTTAAATTCATAAATGTATCATTCTTGTGCAATTTATATCTATAGTGCCTTCAGAAAGTATTCATACCCCTTGACTTATTCCACATTTTGTTGTGTTACAGCCTGAATTCAAAATGGATTAAATAAAATAAAAATCTCTCACCCATCTACACACAATACACCATAATGACAAAGTGCAACATGTTTTTTGGAAAGGTTTGCAAATTTATTTAAAATGAAATACAGAAATCTCATTTACATAAGTATTCACACCCGAGTCAATACTTTGTAGAATAACCTTGGCCAGCGATTACAGCTGTGAGTCTTTCTGGGTAAGTCTAAGAGCTTTGCACACCTGGATTGTGCAACATTTGCCCATTATTCCTTTCAAAATTCGTCAAGCTCTCAAATTCCAATTGGCTCATTCATCCCCTCTCCTCTCCCCTGTAACTATTCCCCAGGTCGTTGCTGTAAATGAGAATGTGTTCTCAGTCAACTTACCTGGCAAAATAAAGTGTACAAATAATAATTGTTGTTGATCATTGCTAGACAACCATTTTCAGGTCTTGCCATAGATTTAAGTAGATTTAAGTCAAAACTAACTCAGCCACTCAGGAACATTCACTGTCAGTGTAGATTTGGCCTTGTGTTTTAGGTTATTGTCCTGCCGAAAGGTGAATTAATCTCCCAGTGTCTGGTGGAAAGCAGACTGAGCCAGGTTTTCCTCTAGGATTTTGCCTGTGCTTAGCTCCATTCCATTTATTTTTTATCCAAAAAAAACTCCCCGTCATTAATGATTACAAGCATACCCATAACATGATGCAGCCACCACTATGCTTGAAAATATGGAGAGTGGAACTCAGTAATGTGTTATATTGGATTTGCCCCAAACAAAACACGTTGTTTTCAGGACAAAAAGTGAATTGCTTTGTCACATTTATTGCAGTATTACTTTAGTGCCTTGTAAACAGGATGCATGTTTGGAATATTTTTATTCTGTAGTACAGGCTTCCTTCTTTTCATTCCGTCAATTAGGTTAGCATTGTGGAGTAACTACAATGTTGTTGATCCATCCCCAGTTCTCCTATAACAGCCATTAAACTCTAACTGTTCTAACGTCACCATTGGCCTCATGGTGAAATCCCTGAGCGGTATCTTTCCTCTCCAGCAACGAAGTAAGAAGGGATGCCTGTATCTTTGTAGTGACTGGGTGTATTGAAACACCATCCAAAGTGTAATTAATTACTTCACCATGCTCAAAAGGGATAGTCAATGTCTGCTTTTTAAATGTTTTATCACCTACCAATAGGTGCTCTTCTTCGCGAGGCATTGGAATACCTCCATGGTCTTTGTGGTTGATTCTTGAAATTCACTGCTCGATTGAGGGACCTTACAGCTAACTGTATGCGTGGGGTACAGAGATGAGGTAGTCATTCAAAAATCATGTTAAACACTACTATTGCACACAGAGTGAGTCCATGCAACTTATTATTTGACTTGTTAAGCACATTTTTACTCCTGAACTTAGTAAGGCTTGCCATAACAAAGGGGTTGAATAATTATTGACTCAAGACATTTCAGCTTTTCATTTTATTTAATTTGTAAAGATTTCAAAAATCATAATTCCACTTTGACATTATGCGGTATTGTGTGTAGGCCAGTGACAAAAAATATAAATGCAATCCATTTTAAAATTCAGGTTGTAACAACAAAATGTGGAAAAAGTCAAGGGGTGTGAATACCTTCTGAAGGCACTGTATATGCTACATTGAGGTTTTTCTTTCATGATTTTAAGCTATCTTGCATTAGTGCATAGAGTAAGCCTAAGCTTTAGGGCCTAACTGTATGCGCACCAAATAGCCTACACGCCAATTGCCAAGTGCTTTTCGGAACGGGCAGAAAATGTTTAACATTGATCCAGTCCACCAAGGTTGACAAGATGTCACCACCGCGATTTTCATTTTCAGTGTCTTGAGGTAGGGCTTGAAACAAATCACATTTCTAGGTTCAAGATGTTGAATGTGGCTTTTTCTTATTGGATTGACACTGGCCTCCAGTTCTTTAAATTCTACTGGACAAAGGTTGTAATGAATGTCCTCTGATGGCAGTGTCAGTATCACAGGGAGATGGTTGCAGTCCATGTACATATTCAATGCATCACTATATCAAGGCCCTGTTCAAATACAAAAAAAGTGCATCATTTCATCCACCCTTTCTTGAAGTAGTAGTCATTGATTTCACTTAACTGGATAGGTGAAAGCTATGTAATGCAACCCTTGCTAAAACCTATCCATTTGTGTTCGATCAGTTATAACTTAAAGGAGGAGAATTAAAAAAGGTAGGGGCGTGGATCAGAAAAACAGTCAGTATCTGGTGTGACCACCATTTGCCTCATGCAGCGCGACACATCTCCTTCGCATAGAATTGATCAGGCTGTTGATTGTGGCTACTGGAATATTGTCCCACTCCTCTTCACTGGCTGTGCGAAGTTGCTGGATATTGGCGGAAACTGGAACACGCTGTCATACACATCGATCCAGAGCATCCCAAACATGCTCAATGGGTGACATGTCTGGTGAGTATGCATGCCATGGAAAACGGGGCTTTTTTTTTTAGCTTCCAGGAATTGTGTACAGATCCTTGCGACATGGGGCCGTGCATTATCATGCTGAAAAATGACTTGATGGCGGCGGAAGAATGGCAACACAATGGGCCTCAGAATCTCGTCACAGTATCTCTGTGCATTAAAATTGCCATCGATAAAATGCAATTGTGTTCGTTGTCCGTAGCGTATGCCTGGCAATACCATAACCCCACTGCCACCATGGGGCACTCTGTTCAGAACGTTGACATCAGCAAACCGCTCGCCCACACAACACCATACACGCTGTCTGCCATCTGCCCAGTACAGTTGAAACCGGGATTAATCCGTGAAGAGCACACTTCTCCAGCGTGCCAGTGGCCATCGAAGATGAGCATTTGCCCACTGAAGTCGGTTACGACACCAAGCTGCAGTCAGGTCAAGACCCTGGTGAGGATGACGAGCACGCAGAAGTGCTTTCTGACAGTTTGTGCAGACATTTTTTTCTTTCAGTTTTATCAGCTGTCTGGGTGGCTAGTCACAGACCATCCAGCAGGTGAAGAAGCCGAATGTGGAGGTCCAGGGCTGGCGTGGTTACACATGGTCTGCTGTTGTGAGGACGGTTGGACGTAGTGCCACATTCTCTAAAACGATGTTGGTAGAGAAATGAACATTCAATGTTCTGGTGGACATTCCTGCAGTCAGCATGCCAATTGCACGATCACTCAAAACTTGACACATCTGTGGCATTGTGTTGTGTGACAAAACTGCACATTTAAAAGTGGCCTTTTATTGTCCCCATCACAAGGTGCACCTGTGTAATGATCATGCTGCTTAATCAGCTTCTTAATATGCCACACCTGTCAGGTGGATGGATTATCTTGGCAAAGGAGAAATGCTCACTAACAGGGATGTAAACAAATATGTGCACACAATTTGAGAGCAATAACCTTCTTGTGCATATGGACATTTTCTGTGATCTTTTATTTCAGCTCATGAAACATGGGACCAACACTTTACATGTTGCGTTTATATTTTTGTTCTGTGTATGTTAAAAATGCTCCAACAGGGCCAGCGTATGCTGAACCAGGAGAATGGGAAAAGAGATGCCCTGGGAGGAGGAGCAAAAACGAGACATACCTCCACCCGTGACCCAATTTGCTGCACCCAAGACGCACTGCAGGAAATAAACAGTCCCCTACAAGACTCCTGAACACACATAAGGAAGTGCAGAGCCTGTGGTCCAGCGGACGCTCCCAGTTCTATACACACATACCACTCTTTGAGACCAGTGTTCAATCCCGGTCTGTCTAAATCGTGTTAAAAAACACGCAGGAATGGGGGGAATAACAAGATCCTACGGAAATATGACCTGGACACCCATTGTACCGTCCAGCACAGCACAAATATCTCTTCATACCAGGGAGGCGGCCCTAAAAGAGGTTTACCCATTCAAGGCAAGGGACAATGTAATAAAGAGAAACTAAATCACAATTGGCTGTGGCTCTCGAGGTATTGTTGTCCTCCAATTGCTCATATGAACACTTGAAGCAATTCATTTCAGTGAGGGGGTTAGTCACCCAACTCCCACCATTGCTGAAATTACTTGTTTGAGGCCATCCTGGGTTATGAATGATAAACACCCGTAATGCCGGGTGACATATCGCTTGACAAACAGGGCCTGGGAGGAAGGAAGCAGGCTAACTCGGTGGCGTGGGTGTGGGAGTGAGTGTTGCCTGGGTAAGGCTGCCTGTCTGCCTGGGGTCATGGAGGGATTGAAACCAGCCTCTGACTGTCGCCTGGATTGGCCCCTCAAATACGACCAGGACATGAGCATCTCCGAGGTCAAATGCCTGACAGAGAGAATCATTAGGAAATAAGATAATATGTGCTGTATGACGATGGCTCAGTCGAGCTGACCCAAACATAAAACAAAAACACTCCCATTACAATGCTGAGTAATGAAATGGACTCTAAAGCTGCAATGACGATGGGACGGCATGCACAGTATTTGAGTCGAGTAAACCGTTCGAAAGGTGGCGCGAGATGGTTTAAAAGGAAGGCCCAGGGTTCTGTTTCTAACGCTGCACTATGAAGTGGAAGGGAGAAAAAAATACAATTATATTGCATGGCGAAAACAAAATCTCACTCTCCTAGAGAAAGAAAAACAGGAAAGGAAACGTTCCAGTAACATCGGATGGCAGCGTGCCTCTGGAGTGCCGGAGAGAGGTTCCGGTCCGGGCCAAGAGGAACGACTTACGGGCCTGTGCTTCCCCCTGGGGGGGCGTGCCCACCAATATTCTCCTCCGACATAATGACGATGTCTGGGGGAACAGACATCAGCTGAGGCAGGCCAATGCCCTGCACCTACATTAAGATCCAGAGGGTGGAGGCTCAATGCCTCAAGACTCTAACCAAGACTGAGAACTCAACATCAGCCGACCCAGATAGGCCTAGTTATTTCCTTTACAGTCTTTCAAAGCTAATAAAACAGAATTGGTCAATTTTGTGGCTGGGGAAAGTAACTTTTCTGGAGTGCCCCAAAATGTGTTTCCTCTCCACCTCTAGCACGTGCCCTGGTGGAATTTTCCAACCCGATAGGAAAACTGTCTGCAGCTGCAGCCCACACCGTGATACAGAATGCCCAGTGACTCAGTCTGTAGAAGACATATCAGCAAGGAACACTAGGAGGAAATTGAGTAATGGTGGAGATACAAAGACTCACACAATCTATCTTTGCAGAGCCCTTGGATGATGGGCATCTGTGGATCTCAAAGATCAAGTGTGAGGGGTGCTACACATTTCACTGTAGACGCTCATTTCTTTAAAATGGTACCAGAGGCATATTTATATAATTAATTTGGCTGGCTCCTCATCCTAAAATCCTATAAAAGCATTCCTGAATTTGAATCTAAAGTGACCCCCACCCCTCAAAAGAGTGCAATATGCAAAAGCCAGACAGATCGCTCAGACATTATGAAAACGCAAGGTTGAGTCCAGACACAATAGCTCCACAGATTAGTAAACAAATGGAGCGACACAGACGTAACAGCAACAGTCCCTTTCTGCTACTGGCTGATGTCAACGCCAATGAGGTCACTGCCTGCCAAAAGTAAATGGGACTGGACCACATAGACAACCCTGATCGCTCCGGTGCACACATTCCTGAGGCATCGCTAACTGCAGCCCCACAGCCCCTCTCAAAACTGTTCTCACTTGTTTGCAGGTTACACCTACAAAAACACCTCATAGTACCTGCTCATCCCCTCTGCTTCCACAATAGGGTAATTGCCGTATGTTCAGGAGTTGGGATTCACTAAATGGTATTATTCAATCAAAAGCGCTAACTGGGAGTTTCATCGATTGGACAAAAACATTTTCTTCCCGTACTGTGAGGAAGGTGAATGATTACCCAATTAGGTATCTTTTTCTTTCTTTCACTCTCACTTCATTCTCTTACTGATTATGTTAATTCAAACATGCATTCTTGCAGCACAGACAGACTATTGTTTGGTTTTTCCCCAGACATTCACTGTTGCCAGCTTGGATTGAATATGGCCTCATACTAGTATGAAAACATTTTGAATGTGAAACCGCTATATTGATAGGAGCCGACACTGAGAAGCTGTATAGAATATAAACTGTGTATGTAACACTAACTTAGAGATAAAAGCAGACAAGACAACTAAGCTGCTGATGTTATCTACCAAAGCTGGTACACTATTATTCTACCCAACATCTCTGACCAATATCCTTCTAATCCCCTACTTCCACCCCCTCACATCCTATGGCTGACTAACATAGCTCATGACGCCCAGGTAAGGGTGACTTTACCACACCTCTAGCAGATCCCTTAAGGTGTTTGAGGGGTTTCACGAGTACACTTCAGAGTCATCCTCTGCTACATTTATCCACATCCCCGGCGTCCCGACTCCAGTCTTAATAAAATCACTCACTTCTAAAAGCAGGAAGATTGACTGACTCGGTAGCGGGGTTCTCCTCCCACCAATTACATAAGAGGTCACACCGACGCAAATTAAAATAGCTGCAGCGAACGAGTCTGTGAAAAACTGAGGAGCGCAAGAGGGGAGGTAAGGTGCTCATTGTCTGAATGAGGTCCTGAGTTGTCTGGGTTTCCAGTGTATTTTAATTTAGGATGGCGCTGCAGTGGATAGTCACTGTTTTACGGGTTCCTGACCGTTATTTTGTGTGTTTTTTTTACGCTGATCTTAACTTTTTTTGTACATACTGTCTCGCCATCATTTCCTATGACCGAAAACAGCTTCTGGACATCAGAACAGCGATCAGTAACCTCAAACATTTTTACTTCAACGAGCCGGCAGCTCTGGACTTTCTGCTTACTCGGGACAAGGCCCTAACCCCCAGGACTCGAAAGAGGAAGTGGCAGCAAAAGAGCGGCAAGTGAGGCGGCATCCTGACGAGACTATGTCAGCAAGCAAATAGACCGCCTTTGCCCTCTGTTCTATTGGTGAATGTGCAGTCACTTGAGAACTCATGCTAAAATCCTATGAAAGCATTCCTGTTTTTCATTCTGAAGTGACCCCCCACCCCCCAAAATAGAGCGCAATCGCAAAAGCCAGACAGCTCGCTTAGACGTTACGAAAACGGAGGTTGAGTCCAGACACAGATGAGTAAACAAAAGGAGCACCTTTACGCCACACACAGAAATGCATACAAGGCCCTCCCTCGCCCTCCATTTGGCAAATCAGACCATAACTCTATCCTCCTGCTTCCTGCTTACAAGCAAAAACGCAAACAGGAAGTACCAGTGACGTGCTCAATACGGTACGATGAAGTGGATGCTAAGCTACAGGACTGTTTCACTAGCACAGACTGGAATATGAGGAGTATATTGAGGAGTTTACCACATCAGTCAGCAGCTTCATTAATAAGTGCATTGACGAGTCCCCAATGTGACCATACGTACATCCATTTTACATTTGTTTAAATTTTTTGTCATTTAGCAGACGCTCTTATCCAGAGCGACTTACAGTTAGTGAGTGCATACATACCCCAAGCAGAAGCCATGGATTACAGGCAACATCCGCACAGAGCTAAAGGCTAGTGATGCCGCTTTCAAGGAGCGGGACACTAATCCAGACTAGGGCTGGGCGATATACCGTACTTTACTATATACCGGTATTGATGCACGGACTGGTTTTAATTTTTCCTATAACTATATTTCAATGTTTGGTTTGTTAAAATGTGATACGCCATTTGTACTATTGTACTGGTATATTCTAATTATAATCTCAAAATTGTTTGTACCCTATATCAGTCCACCAAATCCAAGCAGGAGTACACAGTGAGAACGTGCATAATTCACAATTTCAAGAAGACCAAAACGAATGGATGCACATGCTGCATTAGCGCTGCTACAAGATCTGAATCAAAACGACTCAGATGGTGTGCAAGAAATGAATCATGACATCTCTGATGATTATTCTTCTGATTCTGAGCCTCAGCCTGAACCTACACCTAAGCGCAAAAAAAGCCATAACGGTACGCACTGAGCAGGTGCTTGCGCTACCACCAAATTAAACGGTGAGACAAGAGAGAGGAAGGGACTGCACCGTTTGGGAAAAGATCCACATCGTGCAGCAGGTGAGAGTGTGTCGGAGAATGTGGTGATGAGGCTTGTGGACCCTTACGTTGGCAAGGGGAAAATTGTCGCCATGGACAATTTCTTCACTTCATTGGCGAACAAGTTGCTTGCAAATAAAACAAGCCTAGTCGGCACCATGAACAAAGCAAGACGGAAGCTCCCTCCCACTGCACAAAATAAGGCACCTGCACAGCCGTTGTACTCCACAACAGTGCTGAAGAATGACAAGCCAACACTCACTTTACCAAGGCAAGAAATAACGTTTCTGTCATGAGCACCATGCATCCAACAGTTGCCATCGACAGGGACACAATAAAAGAGAAAACCGGATACTATTACGCACTACAACCAAACAAAGGTTTGTCAAAATTACGTAATATGCATTACCATTTATACACTAGACAAAAATAAGTGCAACAATTTCAAAGATGACCGAGTTACAGTTCATTTAAGGAAATCAGTCAATTGAAATAAATTAATTAGGCCCTAATCTATGGCTTTCACATGACTGGGAACACAGATATGCATATGTTGGTCACAGATACCTTTTGCATAGAGTGATCAGGCTGTTGATTGTGGCCTGTAGAATGTTGTCCCACTCCTCTTCTATGGCTGTGCGAAGTTGCTGGATATTGGCCGGAACTGGAACACGCTGTCGTACATGTCGATCCAGAGCATTGCCATCGATAAAATGCAATTGTGTTCGTTGTCCGTAGCTTATGCCTGCCTATACCATAACCCCACCATGGGGCACTCTGTTCAGAACGTTGACATCAGCAAACCGCTCGTCCACACAACGCTATACACGCTGTCTGCCATCTTCCCAGTACAGTTGAAACCAGGATTCACCCATGAAGAGCACACTTCTCCAGCGTGCCTGTTCCCATCGAAGGTGAGCATTTGCCCACTGAAGTCGGTTACGACACTGAACTGCAGTCAGATCAAGACCCTGGTTAGGACGACGAGCACGCAGATGAGTTTCACAGACAGTTTCTGACAGTTTGTGCAGAAATTATTCGGTTGTGCAAACCCACAGTTTCATCAGCTGTCCAGGTGGCTGGTCTCAGACAATACCGCAGGTGAAGATGCTGGATGTGGAGATCCTGGGCTGGCGTGGTTACACGTGATCTGCAGTTGGATATACTGCCAAATTCTCTAAAACGACGTTGGTGGCAGCCTACGGTAGAGAAATTAACATTCAATTCTCTGGCAGCAGCTCTGGTGGACATTCCTGCAGTCAGCATGCCAATTGCACGTTCCCTCAAAACTTGAGACATATCTGTGGCATTGTGTTGTGTGACAAAACTGTACATTTTAGAGTGGCCTTTTGTCCCCAGCACAAGGTGCACCTGTGTAATGATCATGTCATTTAATCAGCTTCTTGATATGCCACATCTGTCAGGTGGATGGATTATCTTGGCAAATGAGAAATGTTCACCAACAGGGATGTAAACAAATTTGTGCACAAAAGAGAAATACGCTTTTTGTGTGTATGGAACATTTCTGGGACCTTTTATTTCAGCTCATGAAACCAACACTTTATATCTTGCGTTTATATTTTTGTTCAGTGTAGATAAACTTCTGCAATGCATTATGATCTTCTGTATAACACCTGTTGTTTTTCCTAGGGGAAAATAATCCTAATGTTTTCTACTCTATTCTGTTCCATAGGTTGGATTGGATGTTTTGGATCAGATGGCACGGCTGAACTCTGTGAAAGGAGGCACCCACCGCTGACCTGATGCTGTGCTCTACAACAAGCTTGACTTGGCTGCTATCAACGCAGTGTTGATCAAGCAGTGCATCAATAACACCATGCCCAGGTGAGACTTCATCATGAGTCTGGCATACGGGCTATGTGAGAGACATGAGGGCCAAGGCAGCAGCAAAGATTCCACAGGAGCCTTTGCGCAAGCCAAATTGCACACAGCTCCCGAGAAGGAGACAGTGCCAGGTGGCCAGATGCACAAAGAACAGAACCCAAGACACCGGTCACCTGCAATTGACAAGTTTGTAGGAAGTGTGTCAAGCAAGTGTAAGTGGCGAAGATTTGTGTCAACTGTGAAATCCAACTAATGCCATTGCGTGAAAACGCACACTAGAGGGCTGCATTCCCGTGGGATGCCCTCAGGACCTGTGGGTTCCGACAGAGATCATTGCAGCACAGTCTGCATTTTTAATGCTGCAGGAGAGAGGTCAGACAGATTATTTGGAAACGGTTGTCTTTCTGCTTTGTATGTGTTAGCCTTCCTATTGTATTAAAAGCGCATATTTTTACATACATGGGACGGAAAATCACATGGCCGTTAACTTCAATATGACAGTAACTTAAATATGATTAGACTGTAGTTTACTACAGTGCCGTAAATACATATTGATTATGAAAGAGGTGCAGGGCACCTGGGAGCCAGAAATCTTTCTGATTGAGAGGGGGTCAAATACTTATTTCCCTCATTAAAATGCAAATCAATGTATAACATTTTTGACATGTGTTTTTCTGGATTTTTGTTGTTGTTATTCTGTCTCTCACTGTTCAAATAAACCTACCATTAAAATTATAGATTGATCATTTCTTTGTCAGTGGGCAAACGTACAAAATCAGCAGGGGATCAAATACTTTTTTCCCCTCACTGTGTATATATATAAATAAATAAATAAATAAATAAATAAATAAATAAAAAGAAGCCGTTAACATGTTCTAACACATATGGTTTCTGTTTCATAGTTGTAACAAAAGCACTCCACAAATAAAATTGATTGAACAGTTTGTTTTTTTTGTTTTTACAGACAGTAACATAAACTAATGAAAATACTATTTTATCTTTTTATTTTTTACTAAAAAAAAAATCTTATTCTAATGTTACTTGACACCTTCAAGAACACAACCAAATGACTATTTTAGCACTAGCATATATGAAATGTATTAATTACACTGTTAGAATGTTGAAGTCAGAATGTCTGCTCGTTAGCTTGAAGGCGGGTCCCTCGAGGTCCAGCGGTTCTAGTGTTAAGTGACCAGTGTGCTTTCAGTGAAAGTGCCCTCTGCATGGGGTTTCGATATATAAGAAAACTAGCTTAACGATCTTAAGGGCCAGTTTCCCAAACACAGATTAAGCCCAGTCCTGAACAAAAAAGCATGCTCAATGGAAAATCTCCATTGAATGTGATTTTTAATGCAGGACCGGCACTTAAAACCCAGAGAATCAAGCTTTTATCTGTGTACATACATACATACATACATACATACATACATACATACATACATACATACATACATACATACATACATACATACATACATACATACATACATACATACATACATACATACATACATACATACATACATACATACATACATACATACATACATACATACATACATACATACATACATACATACATACATACATACATACATACGAGACCCCTCAAACGATTGATAAAAAAAAGGCCAGTTCAAACCACCATTGGGAATTGTGTTCCCTCAGGACGAAATGCAAAACTAAATTCATTACTGGCTCCTATACCATCCCTGTCACGATGCCCTGAGCAGAGCTGAGATGTGGAGGAGGGTGTGACGTGAGACTGATACTGCACCAAGGAGGCAGAAACAGACTGGTAAGGCTTAGCATGGTACGCTGCCAGTCTGACTGCAGGCTGCCAGCCAAACTGCGTGGTGCCATGCAGTTATCTAGTCGGCACGGTTCCCTGAAGGTACTTGTGCATTATGGAAGGAACGGGACAACATGGTGTCCCCTCAGCTACCTTTGCATGTGGAGGCTTGTCCATTTCGAGTGAGTGATTGGTGTATGGGGCAGAGGCTCTCTGGCTACTGTTACAGTGGGGGGAAAAAAGTATTTAGTCAGCCACAAATTGTGCAAGTTCTCCCACTTAAAAAGATGAGAGAGGCCTGTAATTTTCATCATAGGTACACGTCAACTATGACAGACAAATTGAGAAAAAAAAATCCAGAAAATCACATTGTAGGATTTTTAATGAATTTATTTGCAAATTATGGTGGAAAATAAGTATTTGGTCACCTACAAACAAGCAAGATTTCTGGCTCTCACAGACCTGTAACTTATTATTTAAGAGGCTCCTCTGTCCTCCACTCGTTACCTGTATTAATGGCACCTGTTTGAACTTGTTATCAGTATAAAAAAAGACACCTGTCCACAACCTCAAACAGTCACACTCCAAACTCCACTATGGCCAAGACCAAAGAGCTGTCAAAGGACACCAGAAACAAAATTGTAGACCTGCACCAGGCTGGGAAGACTGAATCTGCAATAGGCAAGCAGCTTGGTTTGAAGAAATCAACTGTGAGAGCAATTATTAGGAAATGGAAGACATACAAGACCACTAATAATCTCCCTCGATCTGGGGCTCCACGCAAGATCTCACCCAGTGGGGTCAAAATGATCACAAGAACGGTGAGCAAAAATCCCAGAACCACACAGGGGGACCTAGTGAATGACCTGCAGAGAGCTGGGACCAAAGTAACAAAGCCTACCATCAGTAACACACTACGCCGCCAGGGACTAAAATCCTGCAGTGCCAGACGTGTGCCCCTGCTTAAGCCAGTACATATCCAGGCCCGTCTGAAGTTTGCTAGAGTGCATTTGGATGATCCAGAAGAGGATTGGGAGAATGTCATATGGTCAGATGAAACCAAAATATAACTTTTTGGTAAAAACTCAACTCATCGTGTTTGGAGGACAAAGAATGCTGAGTTGCATCCAAAGAACACCATACCTACTGTGAAGCATGGGGGTGGAAACATCATGCTTTGGGGCTGTTTTTCTGCAAAGGGACCAGGACGACTGATCCGTGTAAAGGAAAGAATGAATGGGGCCATGTATCGTGAGATTTTGAGCGAAAACCTCCTTCCATCAGCAAGGGCATTGAAGATGAAACGTGGCTGGGTCTTTCAGCATGACAATGATCCCAAACACACTGCCCGGGCAACGAAGGAGTGGCTTCGTAAGAAGCATTTCAAGGTCCTGGAGTGGCCTAGCCAGTCTCCAGATCTCAACCCCATAGAAAATCTTTGGAGGGAGTTGAAAGTCCGTGTTGCCCAGCGACAGCCCCAAAACATCACTGCTCTAGAGGAGATCTGCATGGAGGAATGGGCCAAAATACCAGCAACAGTGTGTGAAAACCTTGTGAAGACTTACAGAAAACGTTTGACCTGTGTCATTGCCAACAAAGGGTATATAACAAAGTATTGAGAAACTTTTGTTATTGACCAAATACTTATTTTCCACCATAATTTGCAAATAAATTCATTAAAAATCCTACAATGTGATTTTCTGGATTTTTTTCTCATTTTGTCTGTCATAGTTGACGTGTACCTATGATTAAAATTACAGGCCTCTCTCATCTTTTTAAGTGGGAGAACTTGCACAATTGGTGGCTGACTAAATACTTTTTTTCCCCCACTCTAGCTACGGTTAAAGGGTGGCTTTTGTGTTGGTAATGTTTAAGACCACTTCATCACTCAGAGGCCTGTACGCTTTGGCTGCCGACCCAGAAAGAAGTGGGCTCCTGATGAAGAGCACCCGGGTGGAGAGTGAGAAACTAGAGAGAGCAGCATGACACTCGCCCGCTCTCCTCTCCCTCATCGTCCCTGTCCCCTCCCTTTCTACCTACCTCGCTCTACCCATCCCGAATACCCACAGTCCGAGCCACGGGCTGTCGATTGGCCAGCGAATGGAAAACTGAATCGATGGCCTGGAAAAACAAGTGCTGGCTAATTATAGGGGTTGGTGGGGTGGATGAACATCATCAGTTTCACACTGGCCCCAATGTGACAGTCTGATCTATATAGCTGCAAGGAAAGGCGACAGGACAGGACAGGGCAGCAGCCGTGTAAAGAGCCACCCAAGGGCACCATAGCAAGGTCTACTACAGTTCCAAGTGGATCTCAGAAAATATTTGGGGGGGGGGGTTGTAAAAATATATTTGTATACATGATATTACCAGTTGACACAGGTCCTAATAATTGGGTTAGGGTTAATCTGCCACAAAACATTATTGGGGAAAAAGTCCTGATGTCCAAGTTAAATAAAAGTCCAGAAAAAGGTAACAAATGAGGTGCATCTAACTATTTTTTGGGCTAGCTGGTGTGTTTTAGCATCGGATCATTCCAGCTTTCATCAGAGCATAATAATAAATGGGCCTTGAGGAGGAAATGTGGGTACTGTGTGCAATAGGCCCTCTGCGCTCCAACCCTCCAATGGGTCAATGGCCCCCTTCCCTTTCCCCACTACAGCCCAAAGTTGTTGCTTCTCTTTCCATCTTGGCAGGGCCAGCGCTCTTCTTTCACCAGCCACCCATTCTGATTTCTCCTCCGAGGCTATTATTAGCAGCCTCTGAAATTCAAGTCCGCCGAGGGTTTCTCTAACAGCCGCCGCTTTACCCCCTGCCTCCCATCATGCAGTGCGGCACAACAACTGAGACCTTTAAGGGGGTCTGGACTCCGCACCTCCTCTGTGAAGTTAGTGAGTTACACAATGAAATTAAGCTAGTTATGTCGCCGAAAGACACGTACTGTGGTGTGTAGCACCCACTACAACAACATGTCAAGAACCCATAGGAATCAGATTAATTAGCTATAATAGTGCGTTTTGCTACAAAAATTGTTTCAAGGGCTACTCGATGAAGGGAAGTCCCATACACTCACAGGGCACCTCCATCAAAATAGAAACAAGATTGATTTTATAATACATAATGAATATAGGGCATATAAAGTGTTTTACTAATGCTTTTCACCGCATACAGCTTTCAAAGTGGGAATATTACATGCAGGCCTAATGATATTCCTGTCATCCACAACCAGAGAATGCACTAAGGTGGAAATAACGTTGGAGAAGGATGTGTACTTTTCAATAGGGAGACACACAGGTTTTTCTTTTACCTTTTGAAGACTGGTAGGATTCAGTTGTGTCTTGTCAATGATTTTAATGGCAACCTGACAAGAAAGATTAAAGGAAAACAATCAGTTGCTGCTGAAACCACTCCTAAAGACTCAGGAATTGGCAAGCCTATAAACGGGCCACCAATGCAAACGTGTTTCTCAGATTGCATAGGTGCAATTTTAGAGTGTGTAAAGTATTGCGCCTCTAGGAGAACTGCGAGGGCTGGAGGGGTCTTACGTTTAGTTTACGGCGTTTAAGCACAGTACATCTAATTCAATTTCCCTATTGCTCTCAGGCTATTAACTTGCAATTACAGTGACTATTGTTACGATTGGTGCAGTGCGTTGCCCCTTGACTTTTCAGGTACAGGAAGGGTGAGGTGGCCGGTATTAGCTAAGTCCACCAACGAACTTTGTGAAAATAACTTCATCCATAAAGTACAAACAATCCTACTTTACTGTATTATATTCTAGCCAAACAAATTGGATAATGCGCTATCAAACATGGCAGGTCCCTCCGGAGTCTGATGGCGTCTCACCTCTCGGCCCGTGAGGATGTGGCGCGCCAGCTTCACCTTGGCGAAGTTGCCCTTGCCGATGGTCTTGAGCAGTCGGTAGTTGCCGATGTGCGGCTGCTCGTCAACACACGAGGCGATGGAGTTCCGGCAGCGGGAGCCCAAGCGGCCGGGTCGCGGGGTGACCTCGTTGCGCCCATCGGTGTGTGAGGTGTGCTGTGGACAGAAGATGAAAAGACTGTCAGAAGTCATTTGAAGTCGCGTGTCAGAGGATATCGACTAGAGGGGACATTGATCTTGTGTAGACAGACAGCAGCAAAGAACATGACACAATGAAAAGCCAAAGCCAGAAAAGGTACAATGTTCCTTGCCTAGAGGGCATTGATCAGAGCTCAACTTGTCAATAGACATTCAAACAATCACTACGGGTAGAGCCGTGGTATACTGGTAACACTTCCCGGCACGTGTCACATATTGGTCGTTCCATGTCATACAAAATGTTTGCACTTTTGGTGACTTTACCTAAATTGCATACTCTATGAATGTGACCATATCGCATGATTTATGACCTGTGTGGGGCGCTTCGCTAGCAGTAAGATTTCAGCTCAATTTCCAAAAATATAAGCGCTGTAGCGTTCGAAGGATGTCACTTTCTATTTTCTGACCGACATTGACTAGTGGGTACTTAAGCTCTGCGAACCTAGTACCGGGCCCAAAACAACCGATCCAAGTTTAACAGAAAAAAAAAAAACACCTAATAGCAGGAACAGCACCATCTAGTGGTCAGACACTGGTAATATCAAAATGTAGGATGGGACATAAACCCAACAACTTAAATGACTAATTTCTCTGAACAGAGGAAAGAAACATCCACATTCACTGAGAATACATTACATAGGATAAAGAAACAATACTCTGAGCCACAGCTCCACACTGCTTGTCAAACATAGAGAACTGATACTATATACTCGTTGTTGGTGTGGGATTATCGTGAGTGTGGGGGGTCCGTGGGTGGCTTTTGAACATTTCTTTGGATTCCTCATTGTTAGAAAAGGGTTTGGTCCAAATCGGCTCTTAGGTACTATATTTATTGAATACTTCATGAATCCTATAAATTCAAATGGCCAATTTGGGTGCAATCAACTACCTTAATTTCTCGGAGATCAAATTATATTTCAACAACATTTGCAGGAAAGCTAATCTTACCTGTTTCTAACAGAAACTATTTCAGAACAATCAGAGATGGTGGGTGTCAAAATCATCTTTCTTGTGCTTTTGAGGTGGAATGACCCATATAAAATTCTCCACCAGAGACCGGGGTTCAATGCCCGCGTCCACCCTTCCCACAGTTTTTCATACTTGACTGTCGCCCCATCTCATTTCCTTACTGTCTGAATTAAGTGTCAAAACACCTTAAAATATGTGTTAAAAAAAATAAAAAATACTATTGCTTTTTCGTCAAGCTGATGTTTTGGGGAAGAATGTCCTGTTGACATTATATCACCATTGGTAAGGATTGCAAAGGATACAAACAATTGGTGAATGTTGTACAGGCATTAGCATGAATTGACATTATAAGGGGAAGAAAGTGCTGGTGAGTAAATCATATCAGCACTGCCTGGTAGAGATTGCTAAATGTTTGAACAACGTTGTAAAGTCATTAGCATTAAAGATTGAGTAAATGACTCGAGTGAGCGTGCTGCATGTACACAAACTAGACATTGAGAAACCTTCACACGGTATAATAACTCATCTAGAGAAACGTTCACACAGTGTAATAACTAACCCAGAACAGACTCAAAATAGCTTAAGAAGAGCCTGTCTTTTAAGAGACGTTTTTTTATTGAAATTGACCGTATAGATGTCTTAGTGATGAGGGGGGAAAGAAAACCAAAAAAGGACGAGGCAAAAATAACTTGAAGTAAAAGGCATGTTTAGATGTGGACACCCATACGTCACCCAACAACATTCTCCGAATCAATTCCATTTTACAGAAATCCATCCAAGTATACAATGTCTTGCAGTGTCTTATCTTCACATAAGCTCAATATCAATCCATTTATTGACTGACTGACGGACTAAACAACAGTGTGCAGTATGGCACTGCTATCAACTAATGAGATCCCCATACAAAGATGCAGGTTGACGTTGATTGGGATGAGTTTTGTCCTGGAGGCAGTACTGAGCGGTTTCCACTAGATAGGCCAAATGCAATGTCAGAATTGGCTATATTGTAAAAACAAGAATGTGCTTTAATTTAAGGTTAGGCATTATTATTATTTTTTATTCCCCTTTATTACTTTCCAACCCCACCACCCTTACCCTAATTGGAGTAAACTAGTGAACAACAATGCTTAGGCCTCTACTTAATATATACATTTTATGGACACAGTCAATTTTGCAATAATTATATTTTGTTTGTTTTTTCTCCTGAACTACTTCTACTCTCAACCTCGCCGATCATTTTCATGATGTCCATCCGGTTTGCTTCTATATGCCATATCTTTCTAACTGTGCTCTTTCACAAACCTATAACCTATATACTTATTATGGACACAGTATGCTTACATTATTAGTTATCTTGTTGTTAGTTGTTATTAGTCCCATCCTTCAAATCCATTCAACACCACCCATCTATCTCTTAACACCATCCATATAGGATTTCTATTTGCCTTATATTTTTCAACTGTACTGTGATGTTTTACAAAACTTCTGAAGGCATTAGGGTTAGCAATGTGGTTAAAGTTAGGTTTAAAAATCAGATTGTATGACTGAGGCTGTGCCAGCAAGTGACCACTTGGCAAAGCCACCTCCAGAACAAGATTAATGACGAAAATAACCTAACTTGCTACAAAGATAAACTCCAAACAAATATGAGATTGAGCCTCACCGTGGTATTTTCCTCTACTCTGAAAGCCCTACTCACAGTTGAATTGTCAACTAGTGCAGTGTGGATCACTTTGGAATGGGTTAATGTACAGATACGGTCAAATATACAGCGCCTATAGAAAGTCTACACCTCATTAGGATTAAATGTGGGATTAAAATGGATTTGTAATTTTTTGTCAACGATCTACACAAAATACTCGGTCAAAGTGGAATAATTATTTTTGGGGGGATTCATAAAAAATAAAACACTAATATACCTTGATTGAATAAGTATTCACCCCCGAGTCAATACATGTTAAAAACAATTTTGGCAGTGATTACAGCTGTGAGCCTTATTGAGTAAGTCTCATAAGAGCTTTGCACACCTGTATTGTGCAATATTTGCCCATTATTCTTTAAAAAATTATTAAACCTCTGTCAAGGTGTTGGGGGATCATGGCTAGACAGCAATTTTCAAGTCTCGTCATTGATTTTCAAGCAGATTTAAGTAAAAACTGTAAGTAGGTCACTCAGGAACATTCACGGTCTTCTTGATGAGCAGCTCCAGCCTAGATATGGCTTTGTGTTGTTGATGTAAACGCAGAAAATTATTTTTGGTTGATTTGAACAGTTTAAAAACAATCAGAATGGACAAAGACCCTTTGAAATCACTTAGAATTTATATGTTGCCACTGTAGGGTCAAGCACTACTAAAAACAAATGTAGAACTTTCATAATTCAAAAACATAAAATACCATAGAAAATGTGAAAAATACTGTGATATGATATTTTGGCCATATTGCCTAGCCCTAGTTTCCTTCATGTCATGCAGCTCAGTTCAGAAGGACGACTGCATCATTGATCTTTCTGGTTGGTTTAATACAGTGCATTCGGAAAGTATTCAGACGCTTTGACTTCTCCCCATTTTGTTATGTTACAACCTTATTCTAAAAATGGATTAACAAAAAATATATATACTATACTACTCTACACACAATACCCGATAATGACATAAGGTTTAGACATTTTTGCAAATGTATAAAAAAATAAACAGAAATACCTTATTTACGTACAGTGGCTTGCGAAAGTATTCACCCCCCTTGCCATTTATCCTATTTTGTTGCCTTACAACCTGGAATTGAAATGGAATTTTTGGGGGTTTGTATCATTTGATTTACACAACATGCCTACCACTTTGAAGATGCAAAATCTTTTTTATTGTGAAACAAACAAGAAATAAGAAAAAAACCAAACGGATAACTTGAGCGTGCATAACTATTCACCTCCCCAAAGTCAATACTTTGTAGAGCCACCTTTTGCAGCAATTACAGCTGCAAGTCTCTTGGGGTATGTCTCTATAAGCTTGCACAACTAGCCACTGGGATTGTTGCCCATTCTTCAAGGCAAAACTGCTTCAGCTCCTTCAAGTTGGAGGGGTTCCGCTGGTGTACAGCAATCTTTAAGTCATACCTCAGATTCTCAATTGGATTGAGATCTGGGCTTTGACTAGGCCATTCCAAGACATTTAAATGTTTCCCCTTAAACAACTTGAGTGTTGCTTTAGCAGTATACTTCGGGTCATTGTCCTGCTGAAGGGTGAACCTCCGTCCCAGTCTCAAATCTCTGGAAGACTGAAACAGGTTTCCCTCAAGAATTTCCCTGTATTTAGCGCCATCCATCATTCCTTCAATTCTGACCAGCTTCCCAGTCCCTGCCGATGGAAAACATCCCCACAGCATGATGCTGCCACCACCATGCTTCACTGTGGGGATGGTGTTCTCGGGGTAATGAGAGGTGTTGGGTTTGTGCCAGATAGTGTTTTCCTTGATGGCCAAAAGGCTCAATTTTAGTCTCATCTGACCAGAGTACCTTCTTCCATATGTTTGGGGAGTCTCCCACATGGCTTTTGGCGAACACCAAACAACTTAAAGTGGCCCAATGGAAAGATACTCCAATCTCCGCTGTGGAGATTTGCAGCTCCTTCAGGGTTATCTTCGGTCTCTTTGTTGCCTCTGATTAATGCCCTCCTTGCCTGGTCCGTGAGTTTTGGTTGGTGGCCCTCTCTTGGCAGGTTTGTTATGGTGCCATATTCTTTCAATTTTTTTAATAATGTATTTAATGGTGCTCCGTGGGATGTTCAAAATTCAGATATTTTTTTATAACCGAACCCTGATCTACACTTCTCCACAACTTTGTCCCTGACCTGTTTGGAGAGCTCCTTGGTCTTCATGGTTCCACTTGTTTGGCGGTGCCCTTTGCTTAGTGGTGTTGCAGACTCATGTGACAGATCATGTGACAAATAAAGTCCACCTGTGTGCAATCTAAATAATTATGTGACTTCTGAAGGTAATTGGTTGCACCATATCTTATTTAGGGGCTTCATA